GGTCGTTGAGGAACATTTTGGCACATCTTTTAGGAGCATTTTGATATATTTCTCAACCTAAGGCGATATTTTGCAAATTATCCCTAACAAATAAAAAAAAAAATAACAAAAAAAATAAATAAATAAACAAATAAATAAATAAATGAAATTAGCCTCAATCGTGAAGTCTTGAGGTGGTTAAGCACTTGACGTAAAACTCTCTAGTGTCTCCACACTAATACCCCTCAAATCCAATCCCTCTCGAGCGTTGTCAACAACATCAACGTGAGGAAGGGGGACTTGAACCATGAAAAATAACACAATCGAAGGTCTACGTAGTACGTAACCAACGGACAAAAACAAAAGATTTCGAAGAAAAGACAACGGCCACTTGTTCAGAGGAGACAGACAAAACTTGGATGGTATGACCTTCACAGTCGAAACATATTTCTCAACCTATACGGTAGTTTGCAAATTATCCCTAACAAATAAACAAATAACTAAATGAAATAAGCCTCAATTCTGAAGGCTTGAGGTCGTTGAGCACTTGCCGTAGAACTCTCTAATAACTCCACACTGATACCCCTCAAATCCGATCCCTCCCGAGGGTTGTCAACAACATCAGCGTGAGGAAGGGGAACTTCAACCATGTAAAATAACACAATCGAAAGTCTACGTAGTACGTAACCAACGGACAAAAACAAAAGTGTTCGAACAAAAGACAACGACCACTAGTTTAGAGAAAACACAACGGCCACTAGTTCAGAGGAGACAGACAGAACTTGGATGGTATCACCTTCACAGTCGCAACATATTTCTCCACCTAAAGCGGTATTTTGCAAATTATCCCTGACAAATAAACAAATAAATAAATAAATAAATAAAATTAGCCTCAATCCTAAAGGCTTGAGGTCGTTGAGCACTTGCCGTAGAACTCTCCAGTGACTCCACGCTGATACCCCTCCAATCCGATCCCTCACGAGCGTTGTCAACAATGAGGAAGGAGAACTTGAACCATGAAAAATAACATAAGCGAAAATCTACGTAGTACGTAACTTACGGACAAAAACAGAAATGTATAAACAAAAGACAACGACCACTTGTTAAGAGAAGACAGACGGACACTGGATGGTATCACCTTCACAGTCGCAATTTTTTTAATTTTACCAGATATTTCAGGAGCTTTTATCATATTTCTCAACCTAAGGCGGTAGTTTGCAAATCATCCCTAATAAATAAATAAATAAATAAATAAATAAATAAATAAATGAAATTAGCCTTAATCTTGAAGGCTTGAGGACGTTGAGGAGCATTTTGGCACATCTTTCAGGAGCATTTTGATATATTTCTCAACCTAAGGCGGTATTTTGCAAATTATCCGTAACAAATAAATAAATAAATAAATAAATAAATAAATAAATAAATAAATTAAATTATTCTCAATCGTGAAGTCTTGAGGTCGTTGCGCACTTGCATAAAACTCTCTAGTGTCTCCACACTAATACCCCTCAAATCCAATCCCTCTCGAGCGTTGTCAACAACATCAGCGTGAGGAAAGGGGACTTAAACCATGAAAAATAACACAACCGAAGGTCTACGTAGTACGTAACCAACGGACAAAAACAAAAGATTTCGAAGAAAAGAAAACGGCCACTTGTTCAGAGGAGACAGACAAAACTTGGATGGTATCACCTTCACAGTCGCAACATATTTCTTAACCTATACGGTATTTTGCAAATTATCCCTAACAAATAAACAAATAAATAAATAAATAAATGAAATTAACCTCAATCCTGAAGGCTTGAGGTCGTTGTGCACTTGCCGTAGAACTCTCTAGTAACTCCACACTGATACCGCTCAAATCCGATCCCTCCCGAGCGTTGTCAACAACATCAGCGTGAGGAAGGGGACCTTGAACCATGTAAAATAACACAATCCAAAGTCTACGTAGTACGTAACCAACGGACAAAAACAAAAGTGTTCGAACAAAAGACAACGACCACTAGTTTAGAGAAGACAGACAGACACTGGATGGTTTCACCTTCACAGTCGCAATTTTTTTTATTTTACCACATATATTAGGAGCATTTTGGCATATTTCTCAGCCTAGAGCGGTATTTTGCAAATTCTCCCAAACAAATAAATAAATAAATAAATAAATAAATAAATAAATAAATAAATAAATAAATAAATGAAATTAGCCTCAATCTTAAGGGTTTGAGGTCGTTGAAGAGCATTTTGGCACATCTTTCAAGTCCATTTTGATAAATTTCTCGACCTAAAGTATTTTGCAAACTATTCCTAACAAATAAATAAATAAATAAATAAATAAATAAAATTAGCCTCAATCGTGAAGTCTTGAGGTCGTTGAGCACTTATCGTAGAACTCTCTAGTGACTCCACACTAATACCCCTCAAATCCAATCCCTCTCGAGCGTTGTCAACAACATCAGTGTGCGGAAGGGGGACTTGAACCATGAAAAATAACACCATCGAAAGTCTACGTAGTACGTAAGCTACGGACAAAAACAAAAGAGTTCAAAAAGACAACGGCCAATAGTTCAAAGGAGACAGTCAGAAACTGGATGATATCGACATATTTCTCAACCTTAAGCAATATTTTGCGAATTTTCCTTAACAAATAAACAAATAAATAAATAAATAAATAAATAAATAAATATATAAATAAATAAATGAAATTAGCCTCAATCCTGAAGGCTTGAGGTCATTGAGCACTAGTAACTCCACAACCATACCCCTCAAATCCAAGCATTGTCAACAACATCAGCGTGAGGAAGGGGGACTTGAACCATGAAAAATAACACAATCGAAAGTCTACGTAGTACATAACCAACGGACGAAAACAAAAGTGTTCGAACACTTTCGTTTTGGTCCGTTGGTTACGTACAAGTCCACCTTCCTCACGCTGATGTCGTTGACAACACTCGGGAGGGATCGAATTTGAGGGGTGTCGGTGTCCGTTGGTTACGTACAAGTCCACCTTCCTCACGCTGGTGTCGTTGACAACACTCATAGGGATCGGATTTGAGGGGTGTTGATGTGGAGTCACTAGAGGTTTCTACGGCAAGTGCTTAAAGACCTCAAGCCTTCAGGATTGAGGCTAATTTCATTTATTTATTTATTTATTTATTAGGGATAATTTGCAAAATACCGCCTTAGGTTGAGAAATATGTTGCAACTGTGAAGATATACCATCCACTGTCTGTCTGTCTCCTCTGAACTAGTGGCCTTTGTCTTTTGTTCAAACTCTTTTGTTTTTGGCCGTTGGTTACGTCCTACGTAGGCTTTCAATTGTTATTTTTCATGATTCAAGTTGCCCTTCCTCACGGTGCTGTTGTTGACAACACTCTGGAAAGGCTTTCCATTCCGAAGTAGACACCTCAGTTCCATTTTTGAAATGCTTGTTTGTTTTCGAAGAGGAAAGCGACCAGGGCCGGGCCCCCCACAATTAAACCCCGACTGGGAACTTCTGGCAGCATTAGTCAGTCTCTCTTTTTATGGCAGCAATAGGAGCTAAAAACATCAAATTGCTAAGGACTTGAGAACCTAGAACCGTGGTAGGTCTGTTCTAGGGTGATAGGGGAATGAACCACACAGTATAATATCAGTCTTAGTTGACAAGATATATCTCAGTTCCAATTTAAAAAACCGCGACACAATTTTTTACATTTATTTTTTTCCCCAGCCCGAGACAAATGTGACACTACACATTTTTACCCAACCCAGTTAGAAGAACAATACAATTTCCTCCAGGAGCTTAACTAAGCATGTAGTTTATAGGGATAATCGGCAGAAGGCGCCCACGCCAAAACCTTTCCAGTTTTGGGCGCCCAAGTTTAGCTGCTTGGTACTACCAGCTCAACGACTTGCATGTGGGGTACTACAGGCCCATGCGGCACTCCAAGGGCCCTACCAGATCATGAATCTGGCGCAGAACATCGCCAGTTTCATTTTGATGTAAAAGAGGCCAGGGGTGGTAATGCTGCAATATCGAATAAGGCCCACATACAATTTTGAAAAAGAAAAGCCATACCAGTTCATAAATCTGGCGCAGAAACAGCGCCAAATTCTTGCACCAGTAAAAACAGGCCCAGGGAGATGTGGCCACGGCGCGCACGCGCCTTGCGCCCAGGAGAAACTTGTTTGGGCATGCAGTACCAAACAACCAAACTTTGGGCGGCCAAAACCGAAAAGGTTTTGGCGTGGGCCCTTTTTCTACCAATTCTCCCTAGTTTATACTATGTGCCTGTCATTCATCATGGATACATCTACCCTCGAAGACAAGATTCTTTTTTTGTTTTTCAGAAAAGATAAAATTTCCTTTTCCTCCATCCTCGTCATAATGACATAGCACACAATACAATTTTCACCCATTTTCCTCTCTCACCCCAGACAGTATTAAATACCCAACTTCTGGTTTTAAACTCATCCCCTGCCGCAAAAGGGGTATATTGAAAGCTGGAACAAGGTGAATTCCTCCACAACACTCTGGATCCCCATGTTCTTGTTACAGACGAATATATCTATCATTTCTTTTTATATATATATATATATTTTAAACCCAAGGCTGATATTATCAATAAGAAGATTGAGGCCGGGGTCCTCACAGTCTACCCGGGGTGGCCAAAACAAACATGCTGAGCACCGGGCTCAGCGTCCCTCATATGATGATGATAAATTTTGTTGCTTCTTGTGAGGTCATAATACCAATGCTGATGATTATGATGATTATGATGATTATGATGATGTCTATCTATTATTTCTTCTTAATGGCTCCTAACAAACTCTCATCTTTAAGCATAGTGGACAATCTCTTCCACCCGTTCCTCGAATCTCAACGTTCTATAGGACTACAATGCCCTTCATCTCCATCTTCTTTAGGGCTAAATTACCCTGCATATTGACGTTCTATAGCACTAACTTACCCTCAATCTCGAGATTCTATAGGACCAACAGGAGCCCTAAATCTCGAATCGCAATTACCCTGATGTCGACGTTCTATAGGACCAAGTTCTGACCAACAGGGGCCCTAAATCTCGAATCGAAATTATTACCCGGAATGCCGCCGTTCTATAGATTATAGGGCTAAGTTGCCCTAAATCTCGACATTCTATAGGACCACCAGCCCCGAAATGTCGACGTTCTATACTATGTATAGGACTACAAACCCCTGAATCTCGACGAGACGATCTATAGGATTAGAAACCCCTTCAATCCAGAGAGGGGTCGCCTGATAAAAAAAGGAATCGCCCGATGGGTAATCTCGGCAGCGAACAAACAAAAAAACACCTCTAGAAGAAGGCGTCTTCGAAACTCCGACCCGCAGGGGTCGATGCCAACGGCCTACCAAATCTGCACGCGCTATTGCAATGTCAACCATCTTTTTTTTTTACTATTATTTTTAATGAAATACGTACCTTTTGTCTTTTTTTTTTCCCGCCACCTTCCCATAGAGATACCGGGGGTCATGTCCCACTAGCGGGGGTTTAGTTTCTGTTTCAAGATGTATTTTTTCAACGTGGTCACATCGTGGCCGTGGAATTATCAGATCGGATGGCAGGGAGCCCTGCATACTTGAAACCAGAACTAACACCTCGACAAGTGGGGCATGGCCCCGGGCTCGGCCTCCATGGGACGGCCAGGAAAAGGGAGGTCAGTCATCGAGGCTCTCCAACATTCCCCCCTTGAAGTTCGACCCCCCTATCCCGACCCCAATGGCTAGCTCTCTACGCACTGCGCACGAGCGAGGACTTGCTACTGACTGGGGATGCCTGCACAGGTTCCCCTTAAGCAAAACACAACGCTTTTAAGATCCCACACCCCCTGGGGTACTAGCCAACGGCCCTTGGGATTCTAGTGTGATTATTACAATATCGACCAAGTACGCATAGTAATGTATATTCAACCATCTTCATAAAACAACTATCGTCATCACCATCGCTTTCTCCTCCTCCCCTACTCCCCTCCTCCAACGTACTCCACCTACTTCCCCTCATTCTCTCCATGATGTTCCATCATTCACCGGCTCGAGACCGCCTCGCTAGTGAACCAGAAGACCCATTTGCAGATCCCTTCGTGTTGTCCCCTCAGCCATATCGCACGTCCTCAGGAAACCCTCGGTTTCGCCGATAGTAAACCCATCCATCCATACACGGCCAACAACGATCCGAGTCGATGTCAACAGAGTTGAACAGACAACAACGATCCGAGTCGATGTCAACAGAGTTGAACAGACAGATCTTCAATAACCCACCTCCAGATCACATCGTCTTCTCCGCACAGCCACGTGTGTCGTGTGCACATTAAAACACAAGAATTGTTTTTTTTCGTACACCCATCGCCACATGACCGACAAAAATCTGCGTCAAAGCAAACAAAAGACCTTCAGTCGACCAACCTGCGAGGCTCAGCGGGGTTCCCCATCCGGGCCCATCGCGCATCTGCTCTGCTTTAATCGACGAATCAATCAATCAACCAATTCTGACGTTTTGCCCGGTGAGACGACCAGATTCCACTTAGCGATTCACGACGCGGCCACGTACATCAGTTTTTTTCTTCTTCGATCGCTTATTACACGGTCAGATTACAAGACGATGGGTTCATGATGCAGCAGATGCGGCTTGCTGTCCAACCTTCGAGATCCTCTCCGTCACTTCCCTGGATCGTCCTCTCAATCGATCGAGAACTCTCTGCATCGCATCGCCGCCCGGAGGCATCGGACCCCGGTTGTAACGGTAGATCCACCACCCAGCCGCACCCGTCAAGCCTGCCAACACTGGGGAGCACGAAGCAACACGCACACGTTGACGACAACACAATTCAAAAGCACGTAAGTACATTGTTGTTCTTAGCGAAACCCGCACAAAATCAGGAAACGTTCATTTACTCGGCCAAAATCTCCTCCTTAGAGTCCTCACCATATAATTTTCATCGTTATGTATAGTCCCACTCAATCACTTCCGAGATCCTCACTGCATCGGGTCAATCTCGATACCCTCAGATGCGCGAGCGCAGCGAAAAGGAAAACAAACGTCAGAAACAGACAGGAGCGCGCGCGGCTGTGTATGCTCCGTAATGGCGTCGCTTTTTTTTTTTTTTTTTTTTTAATATGGGAATGGCGCGGGGCTTCATTTTTGTGTTCCGTAACACATCAACCCTTCGCAACGTCCATCAGGAATCAAGCTCTGTCACTCCGCCGCTTTCTCTTGTCCCACAGCTCCATCCTGCAACCGCCTTCCTTCACTTGCTGTTACTCAATCATTTGCACTGTCTCTGTTTAGTCCGTCAGGCCATTATTTGCACACCCGCCTGTCACACAGCCGTTAGTCGGTCTGTCATTCCACTGTCACTGGACATTCCGCCCGTCACTCAACCGTTTGCCCTGCCCTGTCACACAGCCGTTCGCTATGTCACACCACTGCTAATCGCTCCGTCATTACACTGTCACTCAACTGTGTCACTCACTGTTTAGGAAGTAACTTCACTGTTTGCCTCGTCACACAGCCGTTTGCTCTGTCACACACCCCGCCTGTCAGAGAATTTCGTAGCTCTGTCACACACCCGACCGGCTAACAGGTCAGGTCCACACAAGCGGGTGCCGTTACCCCTCGTCCGTCTTGCGCGCCCGCACTTATCCCAACCAGCAAACCAGCCTAATGGTTCGCCTTTTCCTCGCTTTTTTCCGTTCCGCCTACTCGCCAATCAATTTGCCCCGCCCAGCTCACCTCCACTTCATATTAAAAGCCAGCGCCAAGGAATACTATTTAGCGTTCACTATTCGCCTCCCTCGGCCGCCGAACAAACACAGCTGTTAATCCGCTGCCAAAAAGACGCAACCTTACATACAGTAGATAGCTTAGCTAGCCCATCAAAGAAGAAAAACGAAGATATCATTAAGATATCATTATTCGACTGACTGTACCAAGATCGTTCAGAATACGGCAAACTACGCGGAAGCCAAAAAAAGGAGTTATAATTGTAGTACGGGCCAAGATACATTGTGCAATTGCAGTTCGGTCAATGTATACAACCCATCTAGGGCGTCCGAAGTGCAATTGCAATTGTGAACTGTATCTTGGCCCATACTGCAATTATAACTAGTTCTTGTGACTTTCGCGTAGTTACCCCTTCAGAATAACTAAATTTCGGAGGCCAACCCTACATACATTTTGCAATTGCAGTTCGGGCAATGTATACACTCCATCTTGCTGGCCAGGTAGGGTGCCCCAAGTGCAACTGCAACCTCTACCTTTAACCAGCTGCTTCCAGTGGTGTTCGCGCTGGGGTCTGTATACTGACAGATCAGGGGCGCACCGACTGAGCTAGGCCAATTGGGTCAGGAGACTACACGTACAAAACACGAACACCATCATTTAGCCCATCCGGAACAGTCGTTAGAAGAACGAGACAAAAAAATTAGCATGCCCCCTGCGAAAGGATGCAATGAGAAACGTTGAAATGGCCACAAAAAAAAAAAAAAAAAACCATCCAAAAAAAAAAAGGAAAAAAAAAAAAAAAAAAAAAAAAAAAAAAAGAACGTCCAAAAAGATGAGCATGCCCCCTGCGAAAGGATGCAAGGAGAATCCTAGAAACTTTGGCACCGCCAATATTTTCGCTGTGAAACTGCCGCGACGCGCTATTTTTGAAACTCGCACTGCGCAAAAATTGAGCTGAGCCGAGAGGCGTCGTGGCTTGCTTACCTGTGAGGAGCAGCATGCTAAGCAAAAATTGAGCTGAGCCGAAAGGCGTCGTGGCTTGCTTACCTGTGAGGAGCAGCATGATGCCGCCCGTGGTGACGAAGAAGATAAGCGCCGGGATACCGACGAAAAGAAGCAGAGGAATCCAGAGCGGGGCGGTGCAGCAGCCTACGGCGCATGTACAAGGAGACGTAAGGAGAAGCAACAAGCCACCAATGAGGAGCACGGGCAGGCCGAGAAGAAGCAGGCCCCCAAGCACAACCCCCGCTAGGGCCAAAGCCCCGCCAATGGCGCCCATCTTCCTCCAGCTCATCCGGCGGAGGCCTGGCATGTCAACCCAGGGCTTGGGCTCCGCCATATTTGACCGAGTCGACTGATTTCTCGCCTAATTAATAGCGGGAAGCGAGCAAGCAACTCTGCAAAGCGCCACCTTCCTTCCACTGAGGCCACCGTCAGCTGCCGCAAAGGCCAACAGCAGGTACACAACACGACAAAGGTAACGAGTGAGTGACATCATCAGTCGGTCCAATTACCATCAAATGGGCCTCGTCCCACCACTCACTAAATGTGTCAAATTGAGAAAGAATCTTACGCTAGAACATATAGACACATCCCCATGTTTTTACGACTTTTATGCATGTGTACATTATGAGACCAGTGGAGCGAGGCAAACTGTCTTTAGCCCCAAAGAATCCAGCGCAGTTGATTCAGCGTTGGCTCACAACCACAACAACAACAACGACAAAAACAAATAACACGAAAACGGCCAAGTAGACAACACAGACACAGCCGGACGTTAAATGAAGCTCGATCTAAGCCACATAAGATGTTAACCGTGATGTGAAGCGGGTGCCATTAGCGTTAGCTCACGACAGTGAAACCCATCTGTCGTCATTATTCTTCTGAGCTAACGGTCTTTGATGCCCGAACCTGGAGACGTTTGAGGCAAGGTGCAAGAAGTCAGGATAATTCTGCACCTCTCCACAAACGCGTTCGCATACGGCGATTAAATCCCTCTCTCTCTCTCCCCCTTTTCTTGCAGCATGTTCACTTAAATGAAGAGGTGCAGGTCACATTCACACACACACACACACACACACACACACACACACACACACACACACACACACACCCCGCACCCACCCACATACCCGCTCCTACAGCCACATGAAAATCCTCGCATCCACCCACCCATCTGCACCTCCACAACCTCACCCCGGTTCGACACACATCCGCCTACCCAACCGCGCCGACAGCCACCTCCAGCCCAACCACGCCCACCTCAACCGGATATCTCAGATTGGCAGGCTGGGTCTTATTTGTCTGCCTGCAACCAACGCCGTTGATTAAGCATTCACGAGTGAAAGAACAATACAGACACGGCGAAGCGGCAATTTTCGACCAGACTCGGTATTCCATAAAATTTGAGCCACAAACAGAATCCAAATAACATAACATATCAGCCACAAGCGAGCAGTCAGCGCCTTTGATAGAGCGCGACCTTAGAATTGCAACAAAGCCAGATCGACAACGTCAACGCGCAACAAAAAAGTCCGCTTGGTGTTCCCCCCTAGTAGCCCGTACTACGCATGCATTACGTAGCGAGAGGATGAGTAAGATAGGTAAGGAAAAAACTACACACATTGAGAGAGAAGAATACAGATGTAGAAAAAGAACAAAGAGACGTTCCCTGACTGATGTCAAGATCCATACGTCATGTCAAATCAGACCGTTAACGACACTATACCATCGGGTGGACAAACGCAACGCAACGCAACGGTGTGGCACCGTCATATTTCCTATCTCGGCGTAAAACAGTACAACACACACACACCAAGAACACAAAACAGTCAAACGAGGGAGACACCACCTCTCCTAGGGATATCAAACCCTTCTGGCCAACGTGGCGAGTCCTTATCCATCAGCCAAATGCATGCTGGGCAGACCATCGGCACTTTCGGGGTTCGAACTCCCGATACATATCGGAGAAACCGGCGAAAGTCTTCAGACAGTTAGGATCCACAACACGCAGATGCACACACACATAGTCGCAGCAATTAAACCCTTTTCCGTCAGGATCCACAACACACCGTAAACGCGCACATGTACATGCACATTCACACACACACACAATCCCAGCAACTATGCCCCCCGGAAACGCTGATATGTCCATCCGACGGCCTGTGTACCCCGTGGGCCCTTCCTGCCAAACGGCAAAAGAGTTTGCGCGCGCGAGACCAACAGAGTCTCCGCGTGGGCGTTTTCCACCAATTATTCCCAGAACGTTCACATGATTCGGACAGCCCGAGGCTGAGAAAGAGAAATCATTCGCCTCTCATACTACCAACGCGATTGACAGAATCATTCGCCTCTCATATTACCAACGCGATTGACAGGTAGGCCGCAACTCACGCACAAAGCATCACAAAGACAGATACTCGCCACTGCCGCCCTGGGTAGGGTACAAAGCATCGTCCTGACGCGCCCACATTGCCCCGACAAAAAAGAGAGCGAGAGAGAGAGAAAGGGAGAGAGAGAGAGAGGGGGGGGGACAGAGAGAGAGAGGGGGGTACACACACAGACAGAGACGGAGACACAGAGAGAGAGAGAGAGAGAGAGAGAGAGAGAGAGAGAGAGAGAGAGAGAGAGAGAGAGAGGATTTGAAGTAAAAAGCTCCACCTCTGAAACTGCCTCGCAGTGAAGGTCAGGACTGCGAAGTCAAACTGGTCGCCAGCAGTCAAGAATGGAAACCCAACAACTGCACCGCCTGTGTCGATCGATGAAGGCAGTATGGACCCCACAACACCGGACACCCGTTCGGTCACAGACTCGTGAACGTGGAAGCTGTGTGAATAGAGCGACTCAACTGCGTGAGGATGTTCGAACGGAGGCGCACATCGCAATTGATCGTGAACAGTATGGAGAGTGGTCTTATAGAGCAGCGATTGCGCTGTTGCCCTGCGAGGTAGCATGCCCGAATTCGGGTAGCCGCAGCGCGCTTGCCCGCCTCTCGCCAGCGGACCTCGCTGCACCACATCATACACACTACATGCATTTGGACGCTTTCTTGGCCGGATACGCTCATAGTGTTGGACTCGTCCAAATGCGCCTGGTTGGGAAAGCGTGCAAATGTATGTGCAGTTTTGTGTAATGGAGCGACGCCAGTTTCTCGGAGAGAAGCTGTGGTTGAGAGGCGATAGCTGGCACGTAGCCATGCAGGAAGGCCACTCTCTTTTTGCTTTTTGCTTTTTGTTTTTTGTTTTTTGTTTTTTGTTTTTTGTTTTTTGTTTTTTGTTTTTGTCTTTTCTGGCAACCAGCTGAGCCGACGTAGACACAAGATTTTGCAACCAGAAAAAAAGAAAAAAAAAGAAAAAAAGATTTGCAACCAGATGAGCCGACGTAGACACAAGATTGATTTTTTTTATTTTTCTTATTTTTTTGGTGCAAGATTGAATTTGGTTGGGGCAATTAGCCTTCAGAAAAAAACCGAAAAACACATGAAGTCCAACAGGTCCAGTTGGTTGCATGGGCGTCTCGGCCAAACCATATGTTCACTTTCCTCGCCCCGTCCGACTGAGAGCGTACTCACACTAGTATATATTTCGATGAATCTGACCGCATTTACTGCCCAGGCTGGGTGTAAGGACATATTTCGATGAATCTGACCGCAGTTACTGCCCAGGCTGGGTGTAAGGACATATTTCGATGAATCGGACCGCATTTACTGCCCAGGCTGTCTCCACGGCTGAGTAGAAAAAAGTCCAAGTGTATGTGTGAGTGCATGCTTACACTACGGCCTTTTTACGTATTTCTGCACGGAATTGTGGCCTGATACATCCAGGTCCGGCTGTAAACACGGTCAGATACATTTGACATAATACTGCTAGTGTTCGCAGCCAGAGGCTGCCCGGTTGTAAGGGTCGGTTTTCTTTTTCGGGAAATGTGGTGGACTGTAATGGAGGTTTGGCTGGGTGTTTTTGGGCTTTAGGGAAAGGTGGGAAGGGTGCGGTCCCGGCTGGGTGTTTTTGGGCTTTAGGGAAAGGTGGGAAGGGTGCGGTCCCGGCTAGGTCGTGGCAGGCTTTGGGGAGTGTATGTGGAGGGGTCTTTTCATAAGGTCGATTGGGCTTGCGGGGTGGGCGACAACCAGGTTTCCCTTTCAGGTGGAGGGTTGAGTCTTTTTTGGGGGCCTGTCGGGGGTTCTTTTCTGGATCTTTTCTGGATTCTGGGGATTCTGGATGACTGGGCGTCGTTGCAATCAGGCTTCTTTGCATTGTGGCGTTTCTCCTTTTTTTTGCGTGTGGTGTTTTTTTTTTTTTTAAGTAGCAACAGTCTTGTCTTTCTTGATATTGCACAGGTCCAATCCAGATAAAATCAGGAAAATGGAGGCCGCTGATGCTGCTTGACAGTCGAGGAAGAAGTCTCGTAGGCGGGCCGCAGGCCCGCACACCTCCTAAACCACCCGTGCGGGCGGGACCGCTTCGTCAAAATTGGCGAGAAAGAACGACTTCTCCCTTAGAATCCTCTGAACGAACGTGGTCTTGACTGGCGTGCAGGTTCACGCAGGCAGTGTACGTTGCGACCGGACGACCTCAAGACGGGACAGCGCGCGAAGCCTTGCAGCCTGCTTCCAGCAGCCCTATGCCTATTACTTATACCATGGCTGTCAGTGGAAGCAGTACCGGTAGAAGCGGCGAGGTCCAGCTCCACCCTGGGTAAGTCTGACGGGAGGGTGGATTCCGGAAGGAGGAACAATGTGGCCAACAAACACATATCCAGAAGATCTGATGTATGGAACGGGGGCCCAAGTCCAAGGGCGGTATGGCATGACTCCTCCTACGTACCAGATGTGGCAGGATCCACAGGGGATCCAACGGCAAGCTTGGCATCAAGACGGACACCCAGGCCCTGAAGGCCCCGAGAGGTCCGAATTGTCCCAGTTTCAACAAGGGGGAACACTCAATCACCTCCACTCAAGGCATTCAGCTGAGAATTGTCTTGTACCAAGCTGGCCCAAACAGAGAGCCTCGGAATACCCGGAGCGGCCTCAACCAAGATACCTGAAGGGCATCCAAGAGTGGGGTGAAGTAGAAATCCTAGAGCCCAGTATGGGAGGCATGCAACATGTTGCATAGGAGGAACAGTTCAAGCACAACTACGGACGAAGGGCTGAATGGAGGCTAGAAGATACAGGGAGGAACAGCTGGAGACAATGGAGAGGGGGAGCTTCACGTCTGGTGGACAGGCCCCATCGAAGTGTAGAGCAGAGAACGGGAGCTAACAGACCAAGACCGGAGGGCATCCCGGAAGAGGGCGCCTTGGAAGGACTGTCAAAGACACCAGCGTCCTCTCATTCTCGAATGCGGATAGCCAGCGAATCTCAAGGAGGGGGTGAAAGTGCAAGACAGCTGGCGGAAGACCACTCTACATCCTCAATGGAAAGTTCAACGCAATCAAGACAAAGAAGAAGGGATGAGGAGGGAGCGGGAGAGAGACTATGCCCAGACAGAAACAAAAGGGCTGAAATGGTCCACAAGAGCTATGCAGAACTAGTGAAAAGGAGAATCCTGCCGCTAGTGTGCACATTAGCCAATGATGGAATCTACTTTCTGACATTGGCTAATCACAACGGTCAGGTAGTTATCCCTTCACCAGAAGTAGACATAACCCCCACGCCAGCGCTGATTATGGAGAAGACGGAAGAACTGTTCGGGATGAATATTCTTGTCAGGGTGATTGCAGGATCTGATATGGTGAACCTGATCTGTGAGACGAGTGACAGGTACTGCAAGTTTTACTTCCCACTCATGGACGCCCGCATCCCACCGGAATCAGCAGAACTGCTTACACAATCAGGAGTGCGGTGGTACAATGTGGACAAAGTTAGGGAGTAGGGGGCGCCAAAACTAAAATCAATTGCGGTGGTCCCAGGCATCAGCGGGCTGATCCTCCTGACTGTCAACGAAAAACTCCTCCAAGAAGAGAACCTGCAGTCGAAATTTCTTCTCAGAAAGCTCTCTAACGAGTGGGGGTCCGTGTCCATAACGGCATCGTCACGTGGCAGCTCCAGGAACAACTCGAGAGAGACTGTCAAAGGTAATAACATAATGGAAGTAGCTGCAGCCGACATGAGGCCGCAGGAAGAATCATCCCGCATCCAACAGCAAGCGGAGACCATTGACACCCATGGATAGGCTAAAAATGGCAACATGGAACGTGAGGGGATTAGGAGAGAGGGCTAAAAGGAGAAGGGTGAAGAGCTGGGTTCATGAATGGAAAATTAATTGCCTGCTGATTCAGGAATCCAAGTTGAGCGAGGAGAAGCTCAGGACCTTAGGAGACTGGTGGGAAGGCCTACAAGTATGGGCCCCCGCTCAAGGAACAAGAGGAGGGGTGGGTATCCTCCTACATAGAGACCTCCAAGTGAAGAGTCTAGATCAGGAGGCGGACATGTGGGGAAAATGGGCATGGGTCAGGTTCGCTGTAGGAAACGAGGAGTGGGCTGTCATGACGGTCTACGCACCCACAGACAAAAGGGAACGGTCGAGGTTCTTCGCAGGGTTGATGCTTCACATTCCCAAGGTTGATAGGTTAATCATGGCAGGGGATTGAAATCTGTCCTTGATGAAGCACTGGAACCAGACTCACAATCAGCAATGTGAGAACGTTGCTGGATGTTACAACAGAGCTTTGTCAGATGCGTTCAGATTGATGTCTCCGGAGGAGGCGGGCTACACTTGGATGTCACACTTACATCGTGATCGAGGAACAGTGACAAAACAAAGACTAGATTACTTTCTAGTATCCAGTCAGGCGTTGGAGTCAGTCACAACAGTTCAGCAAATCTTCCACCCTATGTCAGACCACAAGCCGGTCATAGCGGAAGTGAAACTGCATACGGGGGTAGAACGAGGAAGAGGTTTTTTCAGGCTGAACTCACAGCTCCTCGAAGATCCAAGTATTGCTAAATGGTTGGATAATCACATGAAGAGTTGGGAGTCAGCCAAACAACACTTCCAAACAGACGCAGACTGGCTGGACAACGGTATAACTATCGCCTCAGGGGTCTTGAATGACTGTTCAAGAATCCTGGCCAAGACAAGGAATCAGAAGGAAGCGGTGTGCAAGAAAGGGGTGGAAGTAGCAGAGGAAAGAATGAAGGGTCATCCAATTTCAACCTTGGTATGGGCAAAAGAAAGGGCGAAAAGGCTGGCGAAATGGGAAAGTATGCAAGCAGAGAAGGAACGCAGATGGACTGGGATTCTCAAGGAAAAAGGGATTGAAGTTCACGACAAAATCACCAAAGAGACCTTTAAACGTCTGCAACCAAGAAGGCTTCAACAACGAATGATAGAACTGCGCCACCCGTTCAACGAGGATGCTCCACGAGCCGCATCAACCTCTGGAATGCTCTCCTATGCAAAACTCTACTACGAAGACATCCTCACATTACGCTGACCACTTGAGGATCCCTACAGCGACCTGACGGAAGTCTCAGACATGTGGATAGACACCAGTGACTCTGTCCAATACGGCGAAGTTAGACTTGGACAGGCCAATCACTATGGAGGAAACCACTCAGACCTTGAAGACGATGGCCCGGGGGAGATCGCCGGAGATAGACGGACTGACAGTGAAATCCTATGCTAAGAATTGGGGAACGGTCGGACCAGTGCTGGTAAAGTTGTCTAATGAGGCACTGTAAGGTTAGGGCTTAGGCAGAGGAATGACACAAGGGGTCATCTCAATGTTGTGCTAGAAGGGCGACAAAACAGACGTTAGAAACTGGCGTCCAGTCTCCCTCTTGAACGTGTCCTACAAGATACTGGCTAAAACTCTAGCAAGGAGACTCGCCAAACACCTGCCGGATTTGGTAGTGGGCGACCAATGAGCCTTTGTCCAAGGTCGATCGATCTTCAACAACATTATTACATCGATTGAGGTGCTGGAAATAGTGCAGTCAGAGAACTTGGACATGGCAGTCCTTCTCATCGATCTAGAAAAGGCATGTGATAAGGTGGGTTGGACATTCGTCATGACAACCCTGAGAAAAATGGTTTTTGGGGAGGGTTTCTGCAGATGGGTGGTAGTGATGTACACTGCAACAACATCGGCAGTCATGATCAACGGGCATCTATCCGCCCCTTTCAAGCTATCACGGTCCCTTCGGCAAGGATGCCTCCTCGCCCCGCTTTGTACTGCAAATGGAGGTGCTACTGAATCGGATTAGGAGACATCCAAAGATCAGAGGTTTACAATTGGCCAGCGGTGCAGAATTGAGGGTAAAAGCCCTTGCAGATGATCTTTTGGCAGTATGTGAGAACACAGAAGGAGCGATGAAGGCAATGAAGGAAGCCATGACAGAGTACTCAAACCTTGTCCGAAGATACGGTATACTGGAACAAGTCGACCTACCTGCTGCCAAAAGCCTACAGACATAGAGGAGAATGGGGAATGAAGAGGGTGGAGGAAGGAGAGGAGGAGCGTTTCCTGGGGGTATTGATTAGCCTCCAAGTAGATTCCACGGCTCAAGGGCTGCTGCTACAACACCGAATTGCAGCTAAGCTTCAACTGTGGGGCACGGCGTGACATCTTTCAATCATAGGAAGAGCACTGGTTTCAAATGCAGCTCTCTTTTCCATTCTTTGGTTCGTATCAGCGGTAAGGGAACTGGCGGAGAGTGTCCTCATAGTCATCCGCAGAATGGTGGCGCGCTTCCTGTGGAAACCAAGGGAAAATCAGAATGAGGGATTTCTGGTGAAGATCGCATGGCAAATCCTCACTTTTTTCCGCGAGCAAGGAGGCCTGGGACTCATGGACCCCACCAGAAGGAATCAGGCTCAACTTCGGGCATGGATATGCAGAGTGGCCAGGGCGAACTCGAAGGAGCACTGGGTGGAATTAGCAGAGAGAATCCTCATGCAGGAATGAGGTCTCATCAGACCGGAAGATACATGGACCTGTTTTTTCATGGAATCTTTAAGGAAAAAGAGATTGAAGTCCAAATTTTGGAACGCGATCAGGAAGGCGTGGAACAAGTCTCCATCGGATGCGCGAAACCCGCCACGAACGAAGGAAGAAGTACTACAAAATCTGTTCGAGAACCCGCTGATCCACGACCACACAGGTAACACTTTCAAGGCAGACGGCTCAACCGGCTCGTTCGGGCTGGCATGGATGCGGAAGGGAATAGTACGCATAAAGGACCTATGGTCTACACTTTTGGGAGGATGGAGATCGAAGGAGGAAGTCAAGGGTGAGTTGCAGGGTCTAAGAAGTATTGAGGTTCACCTGAATGAACTCCAACTGGCAATACCAAGAGACTGGATGACGCTGCTAGGACCGAAGGGAGTAAACCCATTGGGAACTTGGTATTATGCAGCAGAAGAACAAGATCCAGAGGTAGTTTGAAAAGTAACTGCAATTTTGGACAGCGGGTTCAGAAGGGTTGAGAAATGGAGAAGCGAGAAACACTCAAACAGGCTGGCTTTCCTAGATGTGGAAACAATGATGGTATGGTCAAACCCACCACAAATCCGGGTAGCTGAGATGCTAAGGAGCAAAGAACCCTCAAGAATTGCCACGTGGATTGGCCGGGTGCCACTCAGGAAACTGAGTATTAATCCACAAGCATGGGGCTGGAGGCCACAGTTAGACACGCAGATCATCCCACTCCATGACTACTCAGTGAGCACAGGGTATGCCATCTCCGCAAAGTCCCAAACGTCACCGACACAGATAGCAGCGAACAGGTGGCAGGCGATGTTGGGTATCAACATACAAGAGTCAGAACCGCAGTTCAACAACTTGTAGAAAATTCTCACCAGCCTGCCAAATGGCCGTCAGGTGAGCATTCTCTGGCTACTTTCTATGGCAGTAACTTTGTCATTCACGTGGTTACAGAGTAGAGGGATGGGGGTGGAGCTGATCTGCAATTGCTGCAACTGGCCTTTCGAATCAACAAGGCACCTATGGTGGGAGTGCCCTGCGTCCAAACGAATCAGGGGTTGGTGGAAACAGCAATGGGAAGAGATGGGAGGAGAAGGAGCGGCGTGGAATGAGGAGTGGGTGATTCTGGGTTTTCTCCCAGAAAACTTGGCAGGCGAGAAGGGCAAGGAAGGCTGGGGTTACATAGCCCATGTGGTAAGGGGAATCATCTGTGAAATCATATGGGTGGACATGAACAAGACGAGATTTGAGAAGAAAACACTCTCAGACACGGAAATCAAGAGGAGGATCAAGATGGGAGTAAAACAAGCCATTAACTTCGACTGGAGGAGGAAAGTGAAGTCAGGAGTGGGAAACGGAGTTAAGAGGAGATGGTTCAAAAGAACATGGGCTAGGAGCGATCAACTGATCACAGTGAACTCTTCAGGGGAGCTCGTGTTCGCAGAGTGGATTTTGAATGGGAAAACAGTCCCAAATAACTAAAGGGGCAATGGGTCTCAGGAGGACCATCACCAGGGCACTTTGTGGGGCCACCTTCAGTCAATAGGGGTACCCCGCGCAGGAACCAGATACACTCGGTTCTATAGGGCCGCAGTGGGCCAGTAGGTGAGTGTGAGTAGGGTCAGACCAAACCGGGGTCCTCTGGGCCGGGATAGTCCCACATGTAGTAAAACTTAGATAGCTTAGATAGCCCAGTAGAAAGATAGCAGTTACCGGTTACTGGTTCCAAGGGCTCTGGTCCAAGTTGCAATGTCCCAATCAATCAAGAAAGCAAGTCTTTACTCCGCCTGTGTTATTCTCCGTACGTCGTACGGAGCTTCTTTCGTACGGCCGTACGAACGGTCGTACGGCCGTCCGAACGCGGCTCGTACGAGGTTTCGGTCGGGGTCCCCCGTCGGCCACACCGCGATTCTGAAGGTGGCAGGGCATGGCGGGAGGGGGCGAGAGGCTGTCTCCAGAAGAAAAAAAAAAATTGGACTTCAATTACGG